TCTGAGAGTAATCTTCGTGAGGAGATAATGATAATCCCTAATAATTGCCTCATTGTGAAATAATATCATGTTGTCATTAGGTATTATTTGTTTGTGATGGTTAGATTATATCTGTTAATCTAATGTAATCCCATCTGTGAATTAACCTTAACCTCTATCAGCTTGGGTTCACACTTTACGTGGGGTCATCCAGGTCATCTTAAATGTTAATTTTAAAAAAAATATTTTGAAATTCTTGTACTAAAGAGAGACTGTATGTGTAATTCCGCCTGCATTTAGTGCTTAATAAACGTGATAAATTGTTCAGTGATTTACCCAACTGTGATCTCATTGATAAGCGTTTATTTTCTTACTGACTCAAATATTTCTTTCACAAATGTGTGAGAATTTCTCTTTTTTTTTTTTTAAGNGTCTGGGAATGGTCTGAATCAGTGCGCGTAATGAGAGGAGAATGTCGGGGTATTGTGACTGGCTAAAACTGTGTCTACTCCTGCAGGGTTGGAATGTTGATGTTCCCACTGACCTAAACTGTAGTGCTGCTGGGAAAAAATTCATACTTTTTTGGCTCAGCTTTGGAATTTTGTTTTATCTCAGGTAAAAATACTTTCAAGTAAATGAATGAAAATTTCAAATAGAAAAAAAAAGAGAAAAAGGAAGTCAGAGAGAAAAGAAATGAATTACCCTTCTGCATAAGATGAGCATCATTATCTTCCATGATTATCATCATTATCTTTTTTTAAAGATAAAATGTTTTTCAGTCAGGCATTTTAATGTTGCAGACAGAGCACAGCATGTAGAATTTTTATGCCATCTCCACATCCTGCGTACATTTGTAGGTAAATGTTTAAGGCAGTTGCTTCATCTTATCTATAGCACCAATTACTTTTGAACCTTAGTACGCCTGAACTTTTGCAGCGGAGTTTTATGTTATGAGGTCAAGGTGGATGATGTTCAGCCCAACACCCCCACCCCTGCTTAAAATCCCACTCATCTACCAGACGCGGCTTAACATGAATTTCTTTCAAGTCAGACAACCTTGAAGAATGCATTTCACATTTTCTCTATTATTTTCACTGTCTTGCAGTTTATTCATGTTAAATGCAGCTTCATGATTGTTAAACTGCAAGTCATTCACATGAAATGTGCCAATTTCGCCCCTCTGGCTTCAAAGCTGCATACCAAAAATATTTGACCTTCAATAAAGTACAACATCACTCTACGTGATATATTCTCACCTAGGTGATGGCTTGTGAAAGTCTTAAGATTTCTGAGGTGACATTTATTCATTTACATGCTGTCAGTTAAGTGTTTACGTCAACTGCTATTAAAGTGCCTTGTTATGAAAAAAATTGATATGAACCAGAAACATGAGTTGAAAATTGTGAAGAGAGATTAAAATTTCCAAAAAATAAATAAGTTAATAGATAAGTTGTTCCACAGTACAGTTTAGCAACTTCACTTCATTAGTATATGTGTATGTCGAATTTTTGCTTTTGATTTTTCTAGTGTAAAAGTCCCGTTTAGAATATTAGTCCCAGTTTAATGTTGCATAAGTTCAGTTTTGATAGACATTTTTAGAGTTCATTTTTTGTGCTATTTGATACAACTTTGAAAGTAGTACCAGTAGTATGATCAACTATTGGTAAATATTTGATAAAGAATCAAGATTAGCTTTTCATGTTGAATGGAATGCATTACTTGTTGTAAGCTTCTACTTGAGAGTGCTTTGGGAAGGGGAGAGTTGGTGGGGGGGGGGGGGGGCTTGATATACCTGTTGGATTAAAAATATAAGGAATGTTTATGCTTGTAAAGTGCAATATATCAACCACCTTGGATTATCATTCCACCTTTGAAGTTCAGATGGGTTAAATGGGTGCTGGGTGGGAGCAAATCTGTGTAGGTAACATATGAGATAGAGAATATGTTTATGCTTCCTCAATGTAATACATCAATGTTTTTTGGCAACTGCTTTACCTTTGAGGTGTGGGGGAGGTGGTGGGAGGATTAGGGAAAGAGTTTCAAAAAATGTTTGGGTAACCTTTGCAGCCTGATAAAATTACAACTGCAAGCCTGTCAGCAAATACATATAAGGAATGTATAAATGCAGTGCATTCGGATGCAGTGATCAGAGCTTGTCTACTATTTCACCTTGAGAATTTGAGTGTGGGGGAGGGGGGCGGGGTAAAACTTTTGCTTTTTGTAGTTTGTGCAAATGGTAAGGGAAAGATCAGAATGATCAATAAATGATTAAATGTTCAAGCATGTGTTTTATAGAAATTGTCTTGAGGAGGAGGGATTGATTTTTTTTTTTTTTTTTTTTTTTTTTTGAAGTCTGAGGATGGTGATGGTATTACCAGAAAGATGGCAATGTAAGCCCAGTAGCACACACTTCAAAGATAACATCTTAGTACCAAGGTGGTCTGATATACAAACCATGTGCACCTTGGGAATTGGAGCGAGTTGTGGGAGGGCAAATAACTCTATATATTGACAGATCCAAGTCTGTGGTAATGTGCCTGGAAATGATCAAGACAAGACCACTTATGTCTAGTGGAAAGCCTCATTAATCCATAATATGATTAATGGAAGCTGATTGGCAGAAACCAGCAGGACTTTAATAAGTGGGAGGGGTGGCAGGTAGGTTCCCCCCCCCCCCCCCTCAACCCTTTGTTTGGAAGGATTTTTAAACACTGCAGTTTTCATCATTTTGAGCAAAAAAAAAAAACATCATGTGGGGAACTTCAGATGGTCTTAAGGTCCTCTGATTTACAAAAAAAAAAAAAAAAAGAAAAAAAAAGCTAAATGTGACCCAGACTTAAATGCATTTTAAACTTTCAGTTACTTGGAGTTAGTTAACAGTTCCAGACTAACTGCAGCTGAAAGCTAGCTCTAGATTAAATGCCTCACTCCATAAGGTTGTGGGAGGACATGGCTTGTCAGCCACTTGGTATTTAATGGCTTTGGTATTAGATCGCTTTCAAGCTTTTTTTTCCCCCAACTAGATGGCAAGGTTGTAGTTCCACTAGCAAAGGTCAGGATCAACAGCTAGGTGTTCCACAGCTAAAGTACATTTTTACTTTCTGTTCAGTATAACATGAATCACCTTGTATGGGATCACCTTGCTTTTGACCTTAATTGTTTTTAATGGGGGGGGGGTACATTTTAAAATTTGTTTCCCTGTTTTTCATCAGTTATATTGGTTATTGCCTGAGAGTCATTAGACTAAGCAATATCCTGCATAGCGCATTCAAACATCTGGTCAAAAATTTNTTCAGTATAACATGAATCACCTTGTATGGGATCACCTTGCTTTTGACCTTAATTGTTTTTAATGGGGGGGGGGGAATTTTAAAATTTGTTTCCCTGTTTTTCATCAGTTATATTGGTTATTGCCTGAGAGTCATTAGACTAAGCAATATCCTGCATAGCGCATTCAAACATCTGGTCAAAAATTTGATGCAGCAGTCCTAGCCTACGTTGACCTTAAAATTGTTGTTTTCTATTAATGAATGTGGCTGTTGTCATTCTTCAGTGAATGTCAACTTTTTTTTTATCAAAATTGGCATTTACTAACCCACACTTTGCCTGTGAAGTGTAACTACTCTTATATTTTTAAAAGGACACTTTTTTCGGCAGCCTTTTTGAAATACTAGTACATCTACGGTATAAGAGCGTGATGTCAGTTGTCCGTTCTGCACTTGAATTTTCAGAGTAATTACTTATCTAAAAAATGCAATCAAAGTGCTCTAAAATCCCCTACATACATTAGCTACACTTGAAAACTATCTAACTGCAAACGTCCAATTACCTCTTAAGTTCGTTCTTCTGTGGCACGTATTCTTCCTGTTGTTTGGTTTGACCTTGAGTTGACAAAGTGATCTTGGGCAACTTCGGGAACAATTAGCCAATGTTGTAACAGTGCCCTACCTTCGAGTATTTTTGGCGTGGGCTTCATTTTTGAATAGACCAAAACAGTATGATGAGTGGTTCTTTAGATTCTAAATGAACTTCAACTAAGCTGGCCAAGATTTAGTGTATAATGACAATAATTATTATTTTATTTTTAATTTACCCTGGGAAATATATGGTAATTAAAAACTTATCTTCCCCATGGCCCTCATTTTGGTATGGGGACCCTTAGTTGGCTTGGCCAACGCTATCTAATAGACTTAATTTTTTTAGTGTGAGAGAGTCCTGGGTGTCCTAGCCACATTGGATGGAGAACTTTACCTCAAATATCCAATATTTTGTGTACAGACACACTGGGGATTTTATCATATGTGGGTGTTGTATTTCAAAACAGTACTAAATAGGTGCTGGTATTTTACCTGAAATGCCTCTGAAGTAGGCTCTATGTACAGGAGTCGCTGGTGGCAGGGATTTGTTGGTGAATGGGAAAGAAAAGCTGATAGCTTAATTGAAGCTTTCATTTCTTAGATAATTCTCCTTTTTATATATGTATTATTATTATTATTATTATTTTTATTTTATTTTATTTATTTATTTATTTATTTTTTTTTTTTTTGCGGTTTGAGGGGGGCACAGGGATATAGTATTGCAAAATTTTCTTTAAATGAAAGAAGTTGAATGTTATCAATGACAAGTTAATCTGTGGTATTATACATCAAAAGGTGCGATAAAGTGCAAGTTTTGTCCATTGAAAATAACATCTCACTTAAACACTGTATTCAGAAAATAATGTTTTACTAACTTCTAAATTAAGCTCTGCAGCGAGTGCATTTTAATTGGTGATAAAGCTTCTTTAATCTGCTCACACACAATGCCACTGTGGCATCGAGTTCCCACACTCTTGTTGTAATCTAGCATATTTGATAGTCCTTGCTGTTATGCTAGATTGTTTTCTATAATCATACAAGCATAAAAAGGTAGGTTGAAATATTGCCAAGTATGGGAAGATCTGCGAAGTAGTGCCCTTTTACTAAGGAAGAAAGTGACTGGCGCAGTGCCAAACTACGTGTGAGAAACTCGTCAAGGTTAATATTTTTAATTCTGAAAGTTATGTGTACGTGGTAGTTTTGAAAAGTATTACGATGCTGCAAAGAAGATGTCAGTAAACAACTTGTGGTAAATAACCCCCACCTTAGGGTCGGGTAACATTTGGGAGTGCTACGACATTGAAGGAGGATCTATTTGGGAGGGATGGCAAAAATACTGCTCCGTCACCTCAGAATCTTATAGTACAGTGAGCTTTTGTTATTGTTATTATTATTATGTTTATTTGTTTATTTATTTTTAGGGGGAGGGTCGGGTTAATGCAGCTGATTCATTGGCATGTTGATGCTCTTTGCAATCAAGAAGAGTATAACAAGTGTTGTATTTAATTTCTATTCCATCATCTTCAAAATAAACTACATTTAAAAATGAAAGTATAACGTGACTATGTTCGGCCTAAGGTGCACAATGCATTCCAAGTTGATGTACGTCACTGGTTAAAGAAAGTATTCAGAAAAATGCAGGAAAGCATGTTTTGTTGTGTTGTTTTGATCACCTGGCTGGAAAAATAGTGCTGTCATTTGGCAAGGTCAGCAGTCGGCTGCTTTTGCCAACTGGCCCCAGGCCATTTATGTTAAAAAAAAGGTGGATTAACACTAGTCTTAAAGACTTACAGTTATAAAAGGAACTGTGTGGACTGTAATTAATTCAGAGGGTGCAAGTTTGGAGCTTTTTTGAAATCTTGTGTTTTTTTTCTTTCTTTTTATTCTTTTTTATTTCTTTGTAATCGTATAAAAGGCAATATACATGTACTGGTATAAGTTGTTCTGTTCTTGTGTGTGTGTGTAAATGCTACTGAAGAAGAGTATCTTTTTTCCCCTCCGCCTTGCTTACATCATCGCTGCTGAGAGATGATGTAAAATGTCAGCATTTACACCTGAAGGAATGTGGTTTGCCCAGGAGGGTGGTTATTTTTCATATGCACATCCTAGTTATCTTTAGAAATTAAGTTCAGGCTTCATTGGTGAGGAAACAAGCCTGTTTGTTTGGTAAAATGCCTGACATCTATTACTTTTTATCAGTTTTTAGCCTCACAGAAGAACCAAGCGAGGAAAGCCATCCCCCCAACCCCACCCTCAGCCTTTTTTTAACACTAATTTTTTTTAATGTTTACATCTGTACTCCTACCCCTACTTTGAAAAATTGTGGTCCGAGCTGTTCCTTATACAATGTTTAGAGTGTAGTAGGAGTAAGTCGTGTAAGTTACCTATTGAGGCAGTATATCTAATTAAAAATTGCTTCTTTTGATGTCTAATAGTGCTTTTTCAACCATAGAAATGTTTTTTGTTTTTGTTTTTGTTTACTAGACAGCTGTAACTAGAGGCATGTTGGTGATGACTTAATGCTGGCAATGGGCCAAATTAATTGTTGTCTGAGAATCTTTGGCATGTTATCAAATCCAATGAAATCAAGATGTTTCTGAGAAGGAAAAGCCTTAATGTGATATTTTTAATCCTGCCTGAGTGATTACTAGGAAATGAAAGCACAAACTCCGCCTATTTGATATTTGGTGCAGAAATGATTCCAACGAAAATGATATCCAAGAATTGAAATTGAGCTATGATTAATTATGACTCCCTTTAAACACGATCAAATGGATACTGCATCAGATTTCATAGTGTCCCTTCCCAGTGTAACAGATTCCACTGAAAATCATTACCAAGAATTGAAATCAACCTGCTGTGGAACCTGGATTGAAGGTGTGCCAGAAATTTTGAACAATTCACTTTTTGTAAATATCATATGTAAAAAAAGTTCTTCATCTTTTCTTTTGACAAAAAAAACATTGTTTGATGTGAATCCGATTTCATTTTAGAATCCTCTATTTTAGGTAATGTGTTATAATACCATAATACACACATGATTAATATATTTTGTTCAAACTTTTAATTAAGATTAATGATTGTCATAATACTCTGTTGTAATCTGTTCCCCTTCTATTAACATGCCGTGTGTGAATGGGACTATATATGTCTTAATACAATAACCCAATTCACGTGCTTCCTGGACGATAAAAATTGATTTCCAAGAATTAAATATGAGCTAAAAGGGATCAAAGCTTCTACCGACACATTTATCTCAGCCCCCTCAATGTCACTGATAAATATACAAAACAAATACTTCAAGGAAGTGAATTTGAGGTGAAAACCATCATGACATTGAATAATATATAAGCAAGATTCATATTTCTTCCTGCGACACTTCCTTTTATCTAAGTTGTCTGAACATGTGAATAATGCTGGCTGTTCTACCTAGAACATGTCACTTTATGCAGTCCTTCCTCTGTCTATCCTTCCATACATTTCTCTTTATCTGTATCTGTATGTATTTGTCTTTATCTGTATGAATAAATGTGAAGGCCTGCATTAAGCGACCCCCCACCCCCACCCCCACACCCCACTCCCAACCTCAACCTGGAGCCTCTTGAAAATCTCTATTTATCGATGCCTTGTCTATTGTAGAAACTTGCCCCTCCCCATCACCCCCCCCCCCTTTCCTCCCCTCTCTCACACTTATGACATTGCTGTTATGCAGAACAACAGATTAAATTACCAGGCATGTTGTTGATGTCAAATCCACATGGAGTTGTAGCCGAGTTGCATAATACGTTAGCTACATATATCTCTAATTCCACAGGGTAATGCAAATCATGTCTAATGTTGTACTTTTCGTGTAGTCTGCAGTAACAGACAGGGATACCTTGCAGGGAGTGCGTATTGGTATAATTTGCTCAGACTGCATTTATCCATAGACAATATTTGTGTAATTGTCTGGGTTAGAAGTTAACTATTTCTCACATAACAGCATACAATGCTTATGTTTATAGACAATATGTTGCACTACTTTTTAAGATATATTATTATTTTTAATGGGGGAGGGGGGGCACCCAGACAGTCAAATTTTCTATGTAAAAGTTTATATACAATTGTAATAGAAATTTTCCACATTCAAAAGACATTAGAAGCAGCAGCGTGCACTCCTGATGGATAGTAATATGTTTTCCTTACAAGAATGTGTCAGACAATCATTATGAAAATAGTGAAAGTTTATGAAAATATATCTGCACAAGTTATTTATGGTATTTTTTCATCATGTTTCAGAGAGACTGACCAGTTCTCCTCCCTGGCCGTGCCAAGAGGGTGAAAATATGCAAAGTGGGAATTTTATTCAGAATTGAGACAATGGAGGTTTCAAAAGTCCAAACTGAGAGCTTTTTTGAGACTGTTGTACGTGTGGTAAAGAAGTACTTACATCTTTTTACAACTCGCAAAAAGTGCAAAGCACTCTAGGCGTGTGGGCCAAGCCCTATATTTAAATGCAGCTACAGATCTGGGAACCAATTAGGCACCTGACAGCCCACTGGAAATCAGGTGGCAGATGTTCTGCAAAGTTCAGCAATAAAGAATGTTGTAGAATTATATATAAAGTCTCCATTTTTTTCCTGCTTCTGTTTCTTTTGCCTGCTATCCAATATAAACTGTTATGATCCATTGCTGTTAGCCAAAGTACAAGTTATGAGTCTGGTATTTGAGGTTCGCCCAGGTTACGTTTACTCGCTGGGTTAAATTAGTAACGAAGTTGACTGCACAGCATCATTTGATGTCACTAGATAGTGATATTTACAAGGCATGAGCTTATTCTTAGGAATCCTGGCATTCTAGCAATTTCAATTCAATTCTGATGGGTCTTGAGTCTAGGTTATACTGTATTTGTGTGTGAACATGACTGAAAGATGGACAGATTCCTCAGGTGTGTCAAGCTGAGGAAGGTAGAACAATTCCAATGGCTTTCTGGTAATGGCTTCCAAAAATTAAACATCATGAAAATAAATAATGTTTTACATTCATTGTTAAGCATGAAATAAAGCAGTGGGAAATAAAAAGAACAAGATCTTTGCTGAGACACAAAAAAGGAGAAAAAGAAAAAGAAAAATATTTTCTTTTGGTTTATTTTCTTCATAGTTATGATTGTGAATATGTCTCACTTCAACAACTTAACTAATCTGTTGCTGGATGGAACGTATGTATCTTTGAGGAGGAGAGGGGGGGGCGGGTTCGCTGTCAGTACTAACATATAATTTAAAATCAGTAAATAGCATGTTTATGACGATAAGTGTGTTAATTTGGTTAGACAGCTCTCTGCTATCCTCTCTGATGTGAAAAGCATCAAATCTCAATCTGAAGCTGTAGAAATGAATTGCTTTTTTTTTCTATGTTGTATTTTGTACGAAATCCAACAGATGTAGAAGATTCCCAGATAATAATGACAACACGACCATCTGTAACTCAGCCCAGACAGCTCAGCTGTGCAGCTCTCATTTTTTTCTGTTATTATTATTATTTCTCCACAACATATGTGGCAACGCAAGTAATCACGGGCTGCGACCTCAGCAGTTTGTGGCTTGTTTTTACATTTATGGCCGTGTTCACTGTTCACGTGATAAGACCAACTGAGAACGGAAAGAGTCCAAACTGCCCCATTTGAATCAACAGAGGACCAGATTGCTGCATATTGGATATAGAAGTCAGAGAAGCTGTAGGGGTGCTTTGCAGCATATGGGTCTCTGTTGACATCCAAGGATGCCATCATTAATCGATCCAGGTCCAAAGAAGTCCAGCAGTGTGAACAGGTCCTTTTTCACGTCTCTTTTGGCAGTTTTGATGATTTTAAAATTTTTCTTCTTTTTTACTTTTTATTTTTTTACCTTGACAATATAGTGCAAAATATGCATCTAGAACCCACACATATGTTACTTCAAATGCAGCATTTTGTGTCAAAACTGTTAACTGTATAAACTTGTCTAACACTTTGAACATCTGTTAGCCTTTTTGTTCTTCAACTTATGCATGCAGTTGTGCTTGTTATGTCTAGAGCACTTCAGATATGATTTGTTTTAGGTTGATCTCAATTATGCAGAGAATCTCAATGTTCTCATTACTAATATGTGATACAACAAATTACGTTACACAAATTACGGCATTGGAAATAGTTGCAACCCCCTACACACATACATACATACATACACACACACACACACACATACACACATGCATACACACCCCAGTTGGCAAATCTATCTATAACCTGTGTCAGTGCTGTAATATTACTGGGAAATTGTCGATCCTATGCATCTACATGTATATTTTGCATATTGTGATTACTGAGTTCTACAATTATCAAGGTAACACAATCATTGGTAACATGATAAAAAATACATCTTAATCATCCTGAGAATGGTATTTGTTAGCAATGCTGTGATACCACAGTTAATTACTTCATTCATAAGGTGTTGGTTTTTATGGTGGCGTATCATGATCATAGTGATAAAATTTAAAACACCTCAATTTCTACTCAATAAGCTGAAGGCGTACCGGAGAGCCTTCATCCCAACACTTTCAGCTTATTGTGTAGAAATTAAACAGTTTTAAATTTTGTCATTATGAATAACAGACAAACTTTTATCAGAATATTATGATCATGTTGTTTGTTGCCAGGTGACCTTGTATTCAAGGCCAAAACTGCAGCGTAATAAATTTCAAGGGTAGATCAGTAATTGAACAGACAATTTACTGTAACAGTACTCCCGGAAATATGGAAAAGTACAGAAATGCATACAGGAATTACTCATTAATTTTGAACAACATGAATTAATCATCAGCCCTCCCCCCCCCCAAAAAAAAAAAAATAATAATAATAATAATAATAAAAAAGACTTGTATTTTTCGAAAGTGGATTTTCAAACGTTCTCAAAAATTTGTTAGCTTCATTCCAGAAAGTAGATGGCTTCTGTTTAAATAGAACAAGTGACAAGGTATTTCCAATAAAAATTAAGGCCCATGATACAGTAAAGTGCATAGTTTGTAATAAAATATGTAGAATTGGAAAATACAAGCTCAGCATCTGACATTTATCAGCAGGTCTGTATAAGAACTATCATTTCCAAGTGTAAATAGGCACACAGAATTTTACAGAGGTGGTCACTAGTAAGCTATAAAAGCAAGACTGCATGCAGCATTGAAGTAAGCCCTATGTTTTGAAAAGGGTGCACCTTTTTATTTTATTTATTTATTTTTTTTTTTTGGGGGGGGGGAGATTAATTTAATTTGCTGTTCAGCTTTACTGTTACAAATGTGGTAGTTTACACAAAATGGTGTTATCTGTGAATATTGTTCATTTGTATTTTTCAACATGTTATTTGTGCCATTATTCATAAAAGCATACTATCCAATGTATCAGACTGTCAGTAAATAAAGATGCAGAAAAATGAATAATGTGTTTTGTCATAAATAGATCTTTATGTATGATGTTTACAATATTTCTTTTGTTTCGATATTGCTGTACTAATGAAAATCCTAAAATGTTAAAAGAACATTTAACTCTTGTTTTCAAGCCAAATATTCCTCACATTCTTTTTTATTACTGTTATTTAACATGCCTGCAATGGTAAATGAAAATTCTGTTTTCATTTTCTTTATCTTTTAGTCATGTTTAAGATAATAAAATCCTCAAATTGCTTTTTCCCCCCTTTGTTGTTTTTACCTGTCTGCACATCTTCGAAAAGAACATTTATCACTGTTATGGAAAAAATAAAAACCACTGGCTTCCGAAAGTCTAGAATCATGTAAGAAGCCCCAATGTCAAGTGTCTGGGTGTTTTCTTTAAATTACAGGGTGTCACACAACATCAAGTCAGGCCACAAGAGATCAAAGGCTTTCCACTTGTCGCGAGTGAAAATATCTCTTGGTCCAGTTAGGCATGGGGCCACCCATTGCAAAAGAACCCGCCGAAATTCAAAGCAAATCAGTGTTGTGATAACCAGCTTGAAAGTCTGACAAATACAGGGTGTGGATGTTTGATTTCCCCCTTTGTGTAATGTATTGTGAAGTTGTGTAAGAGGTGACGGGATTGGAAAATTCAGTTGGTGCAAAGTTACTGGACAAAGGATTTGGAGGATGGCGGTATGCAAGGCATTAAGGAGAACAATAGGGGAACATTTACAAGGGAGTAATGTCTTAAGAGTTACGCTTCACTCTGTTGTATGATACAGAGCGTTTAGCTTGGGAAAATGACTTCACTCACACAGCCTATATCTGCCTAATTGCTCTTTGCAAGCCAATATCAAGACCTCCTCCCTATCTCTTAGTGGCTGCTTTGTTCTACCTAAATGCATACCTGGAATTTTAACATACAATAGGGCATAAAGAGCAGTAAGAAATAAATGGTCATTCTGTCTCGGCAGGGGCAATGAGTCCACTTTTGTGTCCACTCCTCGTGTGTTTCATTCAGAGTGCAGGAACGGAGGGAGGTGCGCCGTCTGTAAAATAGGACCAAGGGTCCCTGATGAACCCAGACTTGTACTTATTTTGTAATTCTATCATTACTTTCACTTGAATGGCAATTGAAAAGTTGGGTAACGTGCAGAAATATTATTTGTGATATTGAAATGAATTATATGACATTAAATTGGAAGTATTTGATGCCTTACATCTTCTTAAACCTAGTTGCTTCAAGAAGACCCAGTAAGGCTAAATGATGCAGGTTAGACTGACTTTTGAATTTAAATTATCTGTTGATATAATACAATACGTTTCTACTGAGTGTATGAATGTGATATATATGAAAAATAAAAAAAAACTAGACATCACATGTTCAACTTGTCAATGGCATCCAGCATATGAAACAAACAGATTTGTTTTCTGAATGTGTATACTCTGATGCGAAACAGTGACAATAATAAAAACAGTCAGACAACTATGCTGGCGCATCTTTTCAAGGCCATATCCGTTTATCCTAATTAGGTCTCTTAAAATAGGAAACCAGACAAGGCACAAGCATTGTGGTTATAAGCCCATAGCTGAGTTGTACAGTTTTAATAAACAAATATTTTCTACTTTTTTCACCTCTGAAAAATCTGAGGCTGTCAGGCCTATGTGAGCAGAAATGAATTGTGGAGTTAAGTTGTTGTTTGGCAGGAAAGGGGGACTGTAATTAAATGTTTACTTCCCAAAGTTTGAACAAATTATTTTTATTTTATGAGCAGTCATGGATTTGAGGCATGAACTACTCATCCATGAATATTCTTCTGAATATCTTGCATTGAACCTCAAGGCATAAATGAGAAGTGCATGTAACTGTTATGCAAAAGTCCATCACTGTAATGAAAATTTTTCATATTTTACTTTTTCTTTCTCTACAGTACTGTGGAAAATACAGTACATGGATTGAAAAGAGCTTACTGCAAACAATATATTATTCCTTTTTTTAAATATTTTCTATAATTAAAACCAAAAATATTTTTGATTTTTATTTTATGTGCTTCTTCGTATTATTATAATGAGCAGTTCCATTTACGAGTGAGTAAAGAAAACTATTTCAAGTTCATTCGGTTATATATACAAGTATATATATGCACAATCCCAATTATGTGTGAGTGAAGACTAGTGTTTCAAGTACATCTGGTTATATAAGTGTTATAGAAGGGATATGTAAGCAGTCTACCCTAGTTTTTGACTTACACAAACCCAAAGTACGAGTTGACTTAGTTAATCCCTCCATTGAATAATCCCCTTAAGCAAAGTTAAGGCTTGGCTGCTTAGCGACTGGCGTGACAGTGCTAGCTATTAAAACCCCTCCTGACGTCACAGTGAAAACTGAACCAAGTTACCTCGTCATCACGATTCCTGCTAAGTCACGAGCAAACACTTTAACTTCTCAATCTTGAGAATAAAACACACCAACTTTTGACCTCTTTGATAAAAAAAGACTCTAAACTGAGTCTAAATTTGGTCTTAATGATTACAAATCTCATCTGTCCCAGAAGAAATCCACAACAGTATATGCAGGTAGGAATAGTTGCAAACAGCGGACACTGAGCTTCCTGGCTGCATGGCTAAACTTACATAATGGACCTTTTGTAACGGAAGGCGTTGCTCAGCTACTAGACAATACTGGTCATTCACATTCATGTTTCTGTGTTGACGTGAACTGCTAAATGAAGTCCGCCCGTTTTGATTATTCATTCATTCAAGTCTTTGAATTACTAAGTTAAAGTTAGGTGGGATCTCATCTCCACCTTAATCTCAAGTGGACAGTCATTCATTACAGTCTAAATGCATTCATTACTGGTATGTTTTCAACACTTAACTTCACCACTTTCTCTTGTTTTCAAACCCAACTCAAACATTGGAGGCGTTATTAGATAAGATTAGATTATTAGAGGCAGAGATGTGGCATCAGATTCCTCTCATTAAGGCGCTGTTTCAAATCTTAAAAAAAATTGAAACTTACGTTTTTAGATTGTGATCCAAAATATGTTTCTTTCAAATTTCTGATTGATATCATTTGCTTGTGCTCATACCCCACATGACACAAACCTTGATCCTTATCATACATATAACATGTTAGCAGTGGTACGTTTTTAGTCTAGCACCACTGATTTTTGGAATTCCCCTTCTGTTGTGCCTTACACAAAACCAGACCATTTCCATGTTGTAAACAATGCGTGAACCGACAACGACAACGGGGAGTGATTCTGTTTCAGAGCCACATAACTTGTGGCGTCTCTAAACACATAAAAGCCAACATTTCATTGACACGATATCACACACACGGCCCAGTAGTAACATTCTTATTTGTCAACATTCCCGAGCAAACTTAAATATGCATAAAACTTTGCCCTGTGCCTGCAAGCTACGGAAGCAGCAGCATCCCACACCAAAGTTTTATGTTTATGATATGCAGGGACTCTTGAGGACATTGAAACTGTGATAATTAGCTGGCTGTCCCAGAACTCCATGCTGCTCGCGGCTAGTTGACTGCGGACCAACTGTCACCTTGGGACAGACAGGAAGGGCTTGGTCATCAATGACCGACTTTTCTTTTTTTTTTTTTTTTTGTAATCACTGTAGTACATCTGTGCTGCCGTATGATTTCAATCAGGTGTGAAAACAATCAGTTGTTTGACACGAGATTCATTGTAAAACAAGATTGCCTGCCTTGTTAGAATTTTACAACACTTGACACAAATTGGTCTCATTTAATTGCACGAGAAAAAGAAAATGTCCACACGGTTTAGAATTATTTTTCAACATATTTTATTTCCTTAATTTTGGATGTCATTTTTTCATCTGTTTTACTAAAAAAATAGTGTCTTCTCTTATATACACGTTAGTCCACATTGTTGACATTACACTGACTAGATGTCTCTGAACTAATTGAAAGTCAAACTACAAGTCAACTCCATAAAAAGTTCTATCTACAAAAAACACTAAATCCAATAACTACTTTGCAACTTGTTTAACTAACTTAAATTACTCAGTCCCGACAATAAATAACATAGTAAGCATTTCTACAGCATGTGTCTGACCTTCACATTACAATTTTACATAGACGTTTACCATTAAAATCACTTTGGCCAATCAATTGGGAGAATGAGTGCTTGACAATGTTGTCTCGTCTCCCTTTTAGGTTTGACAAATAAACATATATCAATAAATTATCTTAACATAAATTTTGACACATTTAATAAATTAAGGTCTCACAACAGGTAAACGACAAAACAAACTCCCTCACTTTTGCTTGATGAAAATAAAAACTGGGAGAGCTCTGTCCATGGAAGGTATGCAATTAATATGACGATGAATGAATTCTGATAAAATAAATAATTCCATGGACAAAGTTCCCTCCAGTGACATTAAGAAAGTATTGGATGACAATAATAGGTTCTTTTACTCCACATAAGAAACAGGAAAACGTGTAACAAACCCAGTGAATTTGTAAAACATACAAGAATTAACTATTGTACAGTTTGCATTGACTGACATTGCTGTTTTAGTCTCCAGATTACTGACGACGTCGTTGACAAACAACTGTGCACACACACACACACACACAAGACGCACGCGTGCTAGCGTGTTAATATTATAGTAGCACCGAAGATCGTGAGCAAATTGAGCAAGTGAAAACAGTACTTTTCATGTCATTCTGTTATGATGGATTCAAGTAAAATGTTCTCATTTGCGCATCTCATGGGAGAGCTTTGTCGTCACAACTGGTGAGGCTTGGGATAGTTCACATTGTAAAACAGAGGTCTCTCTGGAATGGAGGCAAGAGCGGTTCTACCTGTGCCTCCGGGAGAGTTTCAGGACAACGTCATAAATATACAAACACATGTCTCTTTCTCTCTCACACTGCATTGATCATTGCATATGTCCACAAGGAGGAATATATATTGCACAAGTCCTCTCGGCTGTCAACATGTTGTTAAAACAGGATTCTGCACGCTGATGCAAGGCCTGACAGCGGTCATACACTCCCCTGGCTGGACAGAGATGACCCGTCCGAGGACTGGTCCACCTGGATGGGCTGTGGAATGGGGGTACCCAGAGAGCCTGTCGATTCAACTGATGAGGACAGTTTGTCAATAGAGTCACTCTCTGATTGTGCTAGCCACGGATGGGACAGAATTTCTTCTAGAGATGGCCGATCACATGGACGAATGGACAGACATCTACGGATGAGATCTTTAACATCTGGAAGAAAGAAGACAAGAAACTGTTAAGTGGATTACTTATTACTTCCCCCTTTACCAACTGCCTGCACAGAAATCAATACTACTAGAATATACTCGTGGAGAGAGATCGCAGTTGGAATAATGCCATAAGAGAAAGCGACTGAACTTTTTATTGATTTTGGCACACTGCCCACTGCTTAATAGACTTCTAAATCTCAATGGGAATTGTTCATCAATTATTAAACCTTCAATCAGTCAAAAAATAGGTTCACAATCTCTTAAGTCTTGTCTTGGTTACAGGTGTTTACAGGTGTGTGATCCCCCCCCCCTTTCCCCCTCTTAGCACCTGATTGATGTTTGTAAACATTAGAAGCAAGTACATCCAAACCAATACCAGATGGTTGTTGACAAGTTGGTCACCAAGCAGCAAGTCAACAACAACCGCCTGCCAACAATAACAACAACTAACAAGGTGGTATGCCCAACATAACAAAACAAGATCCCAATAATGACCTCCTTAAGAAAAGAAATAACTACAACAGCCATGACAAGATTCAAATACATACCTGATGACAAGCGACCCTTGAAAGTCAGTTCGGCCTTGGCGATTTGGTCGTCTTCTTGGAATGGGATATCGCCGCAGACCATGTCAAAGAGCAGTATACCCAGTGACCAGACAGTCGCAGAACGCCCATGATATCTGTGGCAGCGGATCCACTCAGGGGGGCTGTACACGCGTGTCCCTGAAAAGATAAAACAAATATCACCGTCAGACACCACTGCCTGTGAACTGGCCCACCTTACGGACAACTCCTTATCTTCCCAAAGTTTAATCAACTGCTACTTTTCTGCTATTTCTGTCCCACGATAACTTTATTAAAATTCTATTTCTGGCACCACTGATGCTATTTGGAGAAACGATAAAGCCAAGATCTTGTTATACTTTCCCCCTTTAGGCCACGATTTATTTGATAAGGCACAGCTACAATCCCCTTGAAATCCAGCCATGCTATCCAAACTTTAAATAGCACTGAAGAAACAGGCCATGCCACAACATGCAATGAATGGATTTCAACCACTGCTAAGACATTTGAACTTTTTTATTTGAAGCAATCAAATATATATATATATATATATATATATATATATATATATATATATATATATATTCCATGTCTCATACAATCCCATACTGTAGCATATTGAAGTTATTGCTAAACTAACAGTGCTTGGCCCGCATGTTGATATTTCATCAGTTTAATAATCCATCACATACTGTGCTTTAACGCCTCCACTCTTTTTTAGTCCCAGCCAAGCTTTGACAATCACATGGGACCTGCTCTAGCCTACAGCTTGCAATCATTTTGTAGGGGAAAAAAATCAATCCCAGACTATAGGCAACCTTAATAGTATAGGCTGCCTGTTACTATTTTACTGCATTATTAGCTCCCGTCTGTGTAAAAACCATAGGGCCATTAAAGCAGCATATTAAGTTCAGTCTGTTGTGGGGTTTTAACTGCTGCGTGTGGGCGTCCTTATGTGCACGCTCTCCATGCATGCTCACCTCGTCTAACCTACTTACAAGTCCAAGTGCCAATGAAATTAAATCGAATGCTTGCAAGTCATTTTAAGTTGCTCCACTTAAAAAAAATTTGCCAGGATTTATTAAAGTCAACAAAATGACACTATTATCATGGTAGCAAAGAAAATGCCAATATATATATATTTTTTTAATATATATACACACTGACTGTCTGAGAAATATTCTAATGTACTTAACTCTCCTTGGGTCGTTGCCCTTGGATGGGCCAAGTGTGAAACCCTACACCCTCCCTTTTTCTTCAGACACTAGTACTCCTCTTATTTTGGCGGGAATACCTTGATCTCCAACAGAGCAGACTTCTCACCCTCTTCAACATTCCCCAAATACCTAACACCAAGAGATCTTTTTATTGACACAAGGGGGCGACATTAAGTAGAGCCTAAGTCAACTGAGCGGATAAAAGAAGAGGCAGCACCGACTCGCGAGTTGTGACTACAGCACATATCAACAAACTAACATGTCCAGGAAAGAGAGTAAGTCAGGGCGGGACATTCTCAGCCCATCACAACAGCCAAACCCAGAGTCCACTCATTGAGTCTGCAATTACCATGTGGCCTCTTTGTCCCTTTTGTGTTAGAAAATTCAACCCAAACTGATAGCTAGCCTGGTTCTGGTTACACAAAGGGGGGCTTTATGCCCTATTCAACACTAGCCTGTGCTATCTAAACATTTGTAGGAGTGGAATTTTTGGTGAAGGTGTACTAAGTGAAATTCCTGACTGTTCATTCCTGGGTGGGAGGGGAGATTCATAATTAGAGCACCAAATGGCATTTCAACTAGAGCCGATCCTCTCACAGCAATTGACTCACATAACTATCCTCACCACTGATGAAAATTTGTTCTTTTTTAGTCAAAATAAAAAACCTGTGTATACTTATAGTTGCTTTCAATAAAGAAGCTTCGATAAAAGAAAAATTATTGAGACCCCCACATCCTTCAAATGTATTGGTTTCAGGTCGAGTAATGGATGTAACTAGATACTGCAGCTGCTCTGTGGGGCATACCAAAATACCTGGCTAAGGCTATGCGGCCTTCCATTTTAGGCTAGGGAAGCACTATATATTATGTCTGCCAGCCAGCAGCTGTGGAGGAGTTGAACCTGATAGTCCTTTACTAACAGCTGGCAGGACAAGATTCATCACTTTCACATTAAAAGCTCGCATGTAACCAAAATGCACTCTTCCNTTAACTCTCCTTGGGTCGTTGCCCTTGGATGGGCCAAGTGTGAAACCCTACACCCTCCCTTTTTCTTCAGACACTAGTACTCCTCTTATTTTGGCGGGAATACCTTGATCTCCAACAGAGCAGACTTCTCACCCTCTTCAACATTCCCCAAATACCTAACACCAAGAGATCTTTTTATTGACACAAGGGGGCGACATTAAGTAGAGCCTAAGTCAACTGAGCGGATAAAAGAAGAGGCAGCACCGACTTGCGAGTTGTGACTACAGCACATATCAACAAACTAACATGTCCAGGAAAGAGAGTAAGTCAGGGCGGGACATTCTCAGCCCATCACAACAGCCAAACCCAGAGTCCACTCATTGAGTCTGCAATTACCATGTGGCCTCTTTGTCCCTTTTGTGTTAGAAAATTCAACCCAAACTGATAGCTAGCCTGGTTCTGGTTACACAAAGGGGGGCTTTATGCCCTATTCAACACTAGCCTGTGCTATCTAAACATTTGTAGGAGTGGAATTTTTGGTGAAGGTGTACTAAGCGAAATTCCTGACTGTTCATTCCTGGGTGGGAGGGGAGATTCATAATTAGAGCACCAAATGGCATTTCAACTAGAGCCGATTCTCTCACAGCAATTGACTCACATAACTATCCTCTTTTTTAGTCAAAATAAAAAACCTGTGTATACTTATAGTTGCTTTCAATAAAGAAGCTTCGATAAAAGAAAAAATATTGAGACCCCCACATCCTTCAAATGTATTGGTTTCAGGTCGAGTAATGGATGTAACTAGATACTGCAGCTGCTCTGTGGGGCATACCAAAATACCTGGCTAAGGCTATGCGGCCTTCCATTTTAGGCTAGGGAAGCACTATATATTATGTCTGCCAGCCAGCAGCTGTGGAGGAGTTGAACCTGATAGTCCTTTACTAACAGCTGGCAGGACAAGATTCATCACTTTCACATTAAAAGCTTGCATGTAACCAAAATGCACTCTTCCTAGCGTACTGGGCACTTGCCCCACCCCTTTAAAAAATTCCAACTTTCCTTATATGGACAATAAAATTTCTAGTCTACTTCAATTTGTAGTTTTACTACTGTGTGGATTGAAATACAACCCAGCTACTTAACGGATTATCCTAGACAACCCCCTACCCTCGAATAATTTGTATTCAATGCACCAGATGTCAGGGGAGATTTTTAATACAGCATGCAGAGGAAAAAAACGATGCGGCCTCAAGATGAACTCGCGATGTATTGATTTTTTTCCCTAACTGCCATCTATCATAGCATGAATGAGACTAGTGCTTTAATTGTGTCCTGAAAAGCCATAGGCCTGCAGGCAAATACAGACTGCTATTATAATCATTCATTGCATGTTGTATCAAGCCCATCCCATAATCCTCCCCCAACTCTAACCCTCACATCCTGTTCAAATACGACAAGATTTCTGCTCTAGATGTTTTGATTTTTGTTAATTGCTGAGAAAAGTAAGCAGTACTTACCATCAAAATCAATGTACACGGTATCCTTGAGAATGGCACCAGAGCCAAAGTCTATGAGCTTCAGCTGCCCAGTCCTGAGATCTACTAAAATATTCTCATCCTTAATGTCTCTGTGAACTACTCCAGCTTTGTGTACGTTTATCACAGTCTCCACAACTTGTCTCATGAAGTCTTTGCTTAGTTCTTCGCTAAGAGCACCTTTTTCTGTGATGTAGTCAAACAAGTCTTTAACAGGCTCTGGCCTTTCCATAATAATGATAAAACTATCTGTCCTTTCATAATATTCTATTAGTCTTACAACTCCTGGTATATGTGAAACTTTCCTCATTAAACAGATTTCCATGGGTAATAATTGTCCATTTAGCTGGAAGAGATAAAAGAAAAATTGTAACTTTGCAGTACAATAGTAAAAAGATAAATCGTTTTACTTTTTTATTCACAATGTTTCAGTTTTTTTGCACTAAGATTATGCCTAAGCCAGCGGGGAGTGAACAAGTGCAGTATTCTAACGTTCATATAAGGTATAAAGTCCACTCTTGTGCAAATAACGGGTACTTCGCACTATCATAGTAAATTTAGTCTTGTGACAATGTTAACAGATATCACTTATTTACACACGGCTCGACATATGGCAGATAACCGAAACCACGAGGAAATTAAGGAGTTCCACGAAAAAGTGATCCCGGACGCCGTTTCACATTCAGTCCTTTTATTTACTTCAATTCATTCTTCGAATCAAGGCACACACCCTCAAAGCCGGGACAAGGAAGAGAAATTTACAATTCATCTCTCAAAACGTAAAAGAAATATTTGGTATGCGGAATGAGTCACACTGGAGTGAAAGAATGTGCCTGCAAGTCACCGCGGCGTGAGTTAGCGAATTTAGGGGCGGTGCTACTTATAATAAGCAGTAAGCCATTTCCACTCCCAAATAAACGAGAGCAACATAAATTGTGTTATTCGTGTTTAAAAGACTTTTTTATACTTTCGAAAAATTTAACTGCGCCTTACTTTCACAACCTCCCCACTGAGACGGCACGCGAGGTATTTTGTATGTAAATTAAGTCATGGTTATACGCTATAATCCTCAAATGACCTAGCCGCTCTCAATATCAACAGTTTCCCACGAGCCTCTCGACTCTTTCCGTTACGAAAGAAATTCATCGTAGTTCCCGCCTAACAAAGAACCAGAATTCTCGTTCAAACTTTCATTGCGCGTTTGTTGTTTGTTTATTTACTTTCCAACAAAGGCCTTTCTCATGGCGGGAAACTACCTTAGCACTCAAGATAAACAAAGAGTAAGTAACATGACGCAAATTTCCCAATATATTTCTATCGCTTTCATATCTCCTACTATTTCCGAAAATCGAACTGTTTTCGCTATAAGCCGAATAGAGAAGTTGGAAATGGTATCTCTTCCGCGTCGCGAGCCAGTTGGCCGTGTGCCAAAATCGCAGTCTGAGTACTTCTCACCATAGAAAAATCAATGAAAATGCTATTTACCTGTCCCCATTCTGTAACTTTCTGCCTCAAGACGTGTTTGATTGCCACCTAAAATCAAACAGAAAGAATACTGATAAGCGCATGTTTCTTCAAGTTGTAGCAACGAAATCGATTTTTACCCTGTATAATAATAATGGGGCACGTGCACGAAATAGCAATTCATTATGGTGTGAAAACTTACAGGTAATCCGTCTTTTCTCCTTGTTCCAGCGTACACTGTTCCAAAACCTCCACTTCCTAAAACTGGTCCAACTGTGTATGACTTCTCAAAGGTCTCTCTCTCTTTTCCTGTAACATACAAAGGCACAATGAGCCACTTGATCTAACCAGATTGAATACTACTCGATGTTACGAAATCGACTTCAAATAAAATTTTACTCACCAACTTTAGATTCCTTATCCGTATGATGATTTCCATGATGCGGAGAAAATACTCCTAATATATTGTGCTTCCTACCCAACATGCTGTATTATCCTTATACTGTATGGAGATAGGATAACAAAGACGGTAATCCACAGAGCTGTCGTCCTCGCGACTAACTCCAATATTTTGATGTGAAGATTTGAACTACACTACTATACGTACGTTGAGCTGCATTGTTACTGGCAAACCCGCTAAGATTCCTACGCTAGACTGCGTGACCTAAGCTGGCCCCCGGCCAGCCTTCTTACAAAACGTACAAAAAGCGCAAAGAAATCGCAAACTAACCTTTTTTCCATTTTTCTAATGTCAAGATATTATTCGGAGGTCGTGATTTGATTTTTTGAATTTATATCAGTTTGCTTTTTGAAGCCAGACTGAAGAACTCTTTGGCGGAAGCAGTTTCCGTCTGGTTGCTGTGTGCTGCGGCAGGCCAGCAGGTACAATGACATTCCAAGCGTGCTGGCATGCGTCCAAAGATTTTCACCAATCACAGCCATGGACACAAAGGATCCGCCCAATCACGAATTCCTTCGTTTTCTCCATGATGATAGTGACGTGTCGGCCAATCAGATAAGAGCAAGCCACGCGGGAAGCATAATGAATGGACAGCTGGCGGGAACTCGGCCCGCCAACATCGATTCTTTGTTCCTACGCAGCACACAACACTCGCATAACCAGTTATGTTTATAAACGTTTGCAGCTAGTTACACACACCTGAAATTAACGAAAATCAATCTGTAATGAGTGGTTCTAAGGGAATTTCTAATGATCTTTTATTTTATAAACTTCAGAAGTGATTATTAACATTGTATATTTAGTTAACGCTCATGAATAACTTATTACTTGAGATTTTTTCGCTGATTTTGATCATATTCCGCTTATGTCTAGTTTATTGATCAGTAGTGAACTTTATTGTGGACTCCCATTTTAAATACCTGCTTCAAAGAATATTTCAAAGTTCAATATTTTTTTTATACTTATCTGTCTTAATCATTTAAAATCTAGTTGAAAAATGTGTTAAAATTAGTTTTATAACATGAAGTATTAAACAAACAGCAAATTTTTCCCTCTTTTTCTTTTATTAAAGTATGGGCGGGACGGAGTTCATGGGGATTCTTAATAAATGCCATCTACAAGCCTTCTGTCCGCTAAATGCCCTCTTTATTTTGCTGTAGTTATGCAAGCTGTTTACCGGGCGGTACACATGTAAATATAATATTTTGAATTATGCATACAGGTGCAGTTAAATTGTAAAAAGAAAAGTGGCAGACTTCCAAGGCGGTCGTTGCCCATAGTATGTCAAGTATTTTGAGTTCAATAAAGTACAAAGGTTTCCACAACAAAACAATCAATGAGGCGAAAACGATTGAATAAATGACCGATGTGTGTTTGTAACGACTCCCGCCTCCTGTTTATTTAGAAATATTTGAGGTACCCTTTTGTCGGCCATGGTCTAGAGTATCAAGTATCCAAAACTCAAAACTTCCATTTATTGCTATCATTTCTGTATTGCCGCTAGGTGGCAGCAGATGCTGGTCGACCCTGGTCGTATTATGGGAAGGCTATGTAAACAATTTCTTTCCAAAGAAACGTGAATCTGAATCAGCTTATCGATGGGAAGAGGAATGTTTTGTTTACTATTTTGCTCGATACCTGTGAATAAGCCGTTACGGCAGTTAATAGCCAACTTTTGAATCATAGTTTGGCGGTGACTGGGTGCTGGCTTGCAATATATTTGGCGGAATTATTGAAATTTTATGCTGAGAAAGATAGATTAGATCAAGGAAGAGAGTCAGCGTCTGAATCACGAGTCACTGGGTTGTTTTGATCGATGGTTTCGCAATAGGTAGTATTTTTGTATTAAGGTGTAAAGTTTAAGTTCTACCGACAGCATGGGGCGGGGCGGGGTGGGGTGGCCATGATCAAGAGGGTCCGCAACGGTTTTTAACTGTTAAAAATTAAAAAAAACATGATTCACATGCTCAAACCAGTAGATTTGTCAACATGCATGTGATATTATGGGCACTACTTCGAGCAATCGAAACATACAATTTACAATGGCAAATAAATAAATAAATAAATAAATAAATAAATAAATAAATAAATAAAAACGAATTAAATACAGACCCATAGCCGGGGGGTCGGGGGGGGGGGGAAGGGTCCACTTTATCAGAAAAGGAAAAGGTCCACTTTATCAGAAAAAGACCCCCCCCCTTTCTTTCAAATGGCTGGCTACAGGCCTGAAATACATGTTGGCGATATATATATTACCTAGGCCTACCATAAAATCGGTATTGTAATGCCGTTCATTTTGACGGTATTTCACTGGATATAGAGAGGAAAAACGAGTAAAAATGTGCAGAATGCAACCCTAATCGTGTGAAGTTGTCAAATCTGTCGCGCACTAAACTCACAATGAAAATCGTTTCCAAATAAAAAACGAGCCTCACTTCCAGCCACTCAGGTTTTTTCGCCACTTAAAACTGTATTTTTAGATGTTTATGTTACATTTGCACCTACAAACAAACAGCTCGCATTTTTTTCATAGAAGGCAATTTTGCAGAGTATAAATATATGCCCAGCAAAGATGTTTGCACAAGTACAGTACAAGATAAACTGTCAAAAAACGGACCTTGCCAAGAGGCGGATTTAGTTTCCTGGAGGCGTATTTTGGGAAGGATAGAGCGGACGACAGTGTTATGAGGAGAAGTAACCCCTTGTAACATTACATTATTCATCGAATGTCATGACAAAGATTACGATAGTCTGTACGGGAGGAATGTGGGGGGGGGGGGGTAGCTTCATAACGGCTTCGTGCATGGGATATTTTCTTTCTTTGGGGAAAGGGGNTTTTTTCTTTCTTTGGGGGAAGGGGATACGCCTTACCAAAAATTCTGTTTCCTTCAAAAGGCCCGATGCTACATCTTGTCAAAAACGTCAAAAGAACGCATTCAATAATCGCGTGATCTTCGGATTGATTAACGCCCAGTCGTATTTACTACCCTGGGAAAATCGTATTTCCATCCCAGAATCAATATTCGATCGAGAATTGCATATGCCTGCTGATTTACAGTAATTACAAATCGACAGAGGCTGACTCTTCTTGTTGTAAATAGTCTATTTTTATTTCAACATTGTCTTAATCAATGCAGGCCGCCCCGTTGAACTCAAAATACGGCTAAAAACGACCAAGTAGTGGTAGGTGTCATTTCCACGACTCGACGCTTCACAACTCTTATCTCGATACCTTTAGCTTAATGCCAATATCAATGTATTCATTATTTATTAATTTTATTGTCACAATTGTTACTCATCTTTTATTACCGACTCTCGATGTTTTAAACATCTATTCGCCTACAGAGCATGACTGTACAGTACGCTGACGGACTTATTCTACCAGTACACACTCCTACTCCCCCAATACACCACTTAACGGCATTGATATACACGTTAAGATTATGCGATACCCCCCCCCCCNCTTCGTGCATGGGATATTTTCTTTCTTTGGGGAAAGGGGAGACACCTTACCAAAAATTCTGTTTCCTTCAAAAGGCCCGATGCTACATCTTGTCAAAAACGTCAAAAGAACGCATTCAATAATCGCGTGATCTTCGGATTGATTAACGCCTAGTCGTATTTACTACCCTGGGAAAATCGTATTTCCATCCCAGAATCAATATTCGATCGAGAATTGCATATGCCTGCTGATTTACAGTAATTACAAATCGACAGAGGCTGACTCTTCTTGTTGTAAATAGTCTATTTTTATTTCAACATTGTCTTAATCAATGCAGGCCGCCCCGTTGAACTCAAAATACGGCTAAAAACGACCAAGTAGTGGTAGGTGTCATTTCCACGACTCGACACTTCACAACTCTTATCTCGATACCTTTAGCTTAATGCCAATATCAGTGTATTCATTATTTATTAATTTTATTGTCACAATTGTTACTCATCTTTTATTACCGACTCTCGATGTTTTAAACATCTATTCGCCTACAGAGCACGACTGTACAGCACGCTGACGGACTTATTCTACCTGTAGGCCCTCCTATTCCCCCAATACACCACTTAACAGCATTGATATACATGTTAAGATTAAGCGATAC